TTTAGTATTGCTTTAGTATTGCTTTAGGAGTTTTTTGCGGTTGCGGCCAGTACCCCCAAAATTGGAACATCTTTACTGCACTTGATACCCTTTGATTAATCGGGTACCGACATTATTGGTGAATCCTCCCCCCACAGCCCCCTCGAGAAGACCCAACTTGTTGGGTAGACGTAAGGCACGCAAGTCGACGTCGGCGGCCATCCACCCTGCCACCCAACAACCAACCGACCGACCAGCCAACCGAGCGACCGACCGAAGGACCGAACCACCCACGAACCAAGGAAGCAAGCATGCAAGGGTGCATGCGCTTGTTGCAAGTAAGGGCGCAGGAACTTCCCTGATTTGCCGTTATTCGCCGCAATTTACCCTGGTTTCATGGTTGTTGTTGGGAAACATTTCACATGTTTGCTTGTTGTGGTTTAGTGGTTGAAATCCCCACTTAACCGCTAAAATCTTCAAATGTTTGCTCCCCTTTCCAACGTCAACCAAGGGTTTGTCTCTTCGTCTGGTGGGTTGACCTGCAAAACTGTGGATGGACGTAAACCTGCACCGCCTAAGAGGCCCTGGCATGATGATTTTCCTGTAAATACCACAAACCATGGTTTCCGATAGCTCCAAAGTGGTGCAGGGCTCCTTCAAAGATACATCTTGCAACCATTTGAAAAATGTTTTTTTCAACACCAAAATAAAGGGAGGCCACCATTTTCAAGTTGCAATGTTCAGGTGTATAATGTAAGGATCCCTGCTGAGGGCAAATGGGAAACCCCTCCTCCAATCCAATCCACCAACCCGAGGCTGAAGGGCGGTTTCATAAGGGTTCGGGCCCGCTGAGCCAATGTGGGACGTTGTTTCATTGTTTCAACCACAAATGAGTTCATCCCAACCCAGGGATTTGTCCCTGCTAAGAGACCCTGGCATGATGATTTCCCCTGTAAAGATAACAACAAGCCAGGGTTTGCCAGAGCTCCAAAGTGGTGACCCTGGTGCGAGCGGATGTCGCGAATCCACCGGGCCCATGGCCTCCGCTCTGGATCCGTCAGGCGGGTGAACCGGAACCTGCTGCTGGAGATGGAGACGGAGACGAGCAGCGGCAGCTCCAGCTCGCAGGCCTGCCGGCATTTTCCCGATTTGGGTGTGGGGCAAAAACTAAACACCAGGGTACCATTTTTTCGCTAAACACCAGGTTTTAGTCCTTTTTCCCACTTTCCATTTTGGGGTCACCCTGCAGCCATTTGGCCATGGGTCAAAACTGTTTTGGAATCCCATGTTGGGGTTTTCGGGGCACCACCCATTTCAGAACCTATTTTAGTGGGGATTGGGACGTTGACTGGGGGTACGGGTTTTTCTCGATTTTTCCCGCTGCAGCTTCCATTTCTTCCATTTCTAGGTCCCCCAGCTAGGTGCCCATTTTTTACCGTTTCTTTTTTGGTTGGGAGGGTTCCCCTACTAACATGGAGGCGAATCTCGATTTTGCTGTGGGTCAAATCCGTTTTGGGATCCCATTTGGGATAGGTGACGGTTTATTAGGGGGACTGGATTAGTATCTGTGGGTCAGGTGGGTGTGGGTCAAAACCAATGGGATCCCATTTTGGATAGGTGCACCACCCATTTTAGAACCTGTTCTAATTAGTGGGGATTCCGATTTGGGTGTGGGTCGAAAATTAAACACCAGGGTACCGCAGGTTTTAGTCCTTTTTCCCACTAAGGGATCCATTTTGGGGTTACCCCATTTTTGACCCACAGCCATTTGGCCATGGTTCAAAGCCGTTTTGAAATCCCATATTGAAGTTTTTTGGTGCACCACCTATTTTAGAACCTATTTTAGTGGTTCGATTGGTTGAGAAGCCCATGGCCATTTTTCTCGCACCTTTTTTTTCATTTTCCTCGGCTGGTTTCGAAGGGAATCTGTCACTACTGGAAATATTGTTATGTTTTTCCAGTGGACTTAAGCAAATGGGCTCCTTCTCTTAACTGGTTGCCAAACCCCTGGGAAGATGTGTGGTTTCTCTATTGAGAACGATGGTTTAGTGGATTTGGACCCCCCGTTTTGGTTTCTCTTTGAACCAACCCAATACCCTGAAAAAACACATTCTCATAGGTGTCCTTTTGAGCGGTTAGTTTGCTTAGAGGTAGATGGGTTCACTGGCGAAGATGTTTTTGTTTAGTACACTTTTGCCAGGGATGTCCATCGTTTTTGCGAGAAAACAAAAGGTCACCTAGATATTTTATTCCCCATGTACCAGGAAAAACCATGAATGTTATCAACAGGACACCTAAGGGAAATAGATGGGTTCCACCGTTTTCGAGCGGTTTTATGGGCCATTTACCATTCCCATGTCCCTTTCTTTTGAAATCGGAACATGTCCATTATCTTTGCCCAATGGCCACGGGTCGGTTTTTTTTTGGTGTCCTTAAAGGGGCCAGATAAACAGCGGGGGTTGTCCTTTTGTTTCTTCTCCCTGTTTTTTTGGGGTGTCCCGCAAGGGGCAATTTTAAACCGCTGGATCTGTCTCTTTTTTTCAGGGTCTTTTTTTGGTGGTTTTAATGGCAAACCAAGAGGAAAACCGCAGCCATTTTGATTCTATACCTAAGCGACCAACCCAACAGCTTGGGCAATGCCTGACCAACCGCCAGGGTTGCCGGAGGTTTCAGCACTCGAACCTAGAACTGTTTGACGCGGATCAGGAGATGCTGAACACCCAAAAAGGAGGCCCAATTCCAAACGGAGACTCACATCAGGCAGAAACAACCAAGGACCAGCACCGCGGGGCCTCGCGGCTCAAAACCAGTTGTTTGATCAAAGGGCCCAACGATGACGTTCAGTGGGGCTTTGGCCGGCCGGTGGCCCACCAAGAAAACCAACGAAAACACAAAGAGAAAACACACATGTAAAACATGTTTCAATCAAAAGGCTTGAAGGTAATGTTTCAAACAAAAGACTTGCTACAAGGTTTTTTTGATGCAAAGGTGATGTTTCAAACCAAAGCCATAAAGTTGGCTAGTGCCGTCCAGGTTAAGCCTGGGAAGACCCAGTTAGAAGTGAATGGTGAATGACGATGCGGTTTTTCTGGTACTCTAGTACTGGAGATCGGATCTGTGCCTATGTGGTGATTTGTCCTGCTTGTAGATGTTGCTGTAGTGCCCCTTGTCTCATCGCAAGTATGGCGATTTTAACAGCATTTGGTAGTAAGGTATGGTTGTCTGGTTCATACTTGGCAAGTTGAAATTCCCATGTTGAACATGTTCGTGGGGCTGTGGCTTGAAAAGCATTGTCAGGTCCTCAATGCTCCTTGTACAAAGTGGGATGGAGTATCTGAGGTGCAGTAGTCGCCATGTCTCAAATCCATAGCCTTGTATTTTTTGTCTGCATATTGTTGATGCTGGTCCATCGCATGTGCTCACCAAGATGTAAGATAAGTTGTTGCTCAGTTGTATCCATTGCTCGGCTATTGGTTGTAAAGGTGCTGCGTTTTCTCCAATTGATCGCTTCTAACTTGCAATGCTGATTGCTTTGCCTGTCTCAGCCCATTCTGTCGTATCATCCAAGGAATGCTGTCATCTTGCACTTCCGAGCTAACTTGTTCTTGTGTATTGCTTCAAGCCGCTGTTGCTGTTGCTGTTGTTGCTGTTCTTCATTCCTGTTGGTGCGTGTGGGACGGCCGCTGGATCTTTCCTGGGTGTGTACTAATTGCTGTTTACTGCTCCGCTACCATTTGAAAGTAGAAGGAACTGTGTAACCTTTTTATGCGTGGCAGCACGGCACAGTTGTTTTGTACGCAGGGCGATGTACCATCTGCTGTAGGCTCAAGGCCTTGATATGCAAAGCCGAGGTGAGATGTGAGAATGAGTGCGCATGGATGTCTGTATCTGAAAAACATGATCATATGCAAATACGTCATACATATATATATATATATATACACATCGGTATACATAGAATGTATACTTGAAAATTCATGTTTATGTAGTCTGACTTCTATGATCATGCATTACATATATTATGCATATGTCAGAGGTTATATGTATGATACATGCATACGCTTTGGTTTTGGTGCCCAAGTAGGGATTACGACTTAACTTTGCTATGTGGCTGGATCTTCACCATTTGACGCGTTGTTTACCCCACCAGCAGCAAGTCAAGCCTTTTGCGCCTCGGGGCACGTCTCAAACACTTGTTTTGTTTAGGGCACTGTTGTCGCAGCAACTTTTTTTGGGTTTAGGGTGGTTGTTTTAGCACCATTTTCTGTCCAGTTTTTTTTTGGGCCGGGGGGGAGGGCGCGACCGCCAGGAAGCTTTAGGCAAAACAGTAGGTTTGAAAGCGTGAGCAGTGAGCTTGCGCAATGCGTGAGCCGACTAAGTGGCTGGACGTCGCCGGCGCCGACTGGGATACTACTACCCAGTTTGTGCGAAAGATTGGGCCGCGCCCTGTCACTGCTGACACATCTCTTCCGGGTGGTATCCTACGGCCTGAGCACTCCCGTGATGCAATACAGCAAATAGTCGCTGCCTCTCCCCAGATTGCCAAGCTGAAATATGCGATGGAGCACACGTCTTTTGGACCCTTAGCATTCCAGACGAAAACCCAAGCATCAGAGATGCTTTTGGGAAACAGAGGCTCCCGCCCGTAGCGGATCCCCAATGCATGTTTCGAATAAAACAAGTATCACCCAAAATGAAAGGCGCTCATGATTTGGAAGCATTTTTGGATCAAACAAGAGGCTCCCGTATCGGATCCCCTTGCAGGCTTGGACAAAAGCCCAAGTATCACTCACAATTGCAGTACCCTAAGAAATAATTGTATATATATATATATGTATACATACATATATATATATATATATATATTGAAACTAGACCCTGCGTGATTACACGGAATTCGAGCGCACAAGCCTCCTAAAACGCCGCGGAGGAGTGGAGCACCGGAAGCCCGGCATTGGAGCCGGAGCTTCCTCAGAAGGCGGGGAATACAAAGGTTCAGCCACAGAACCTCCGGGGAAGTCCCTCTTGTCCTGAGGGCAAAGGGGGGTGGCGGGTGGGTGGGGGGGTGGGGGGGTTGCGGGGTGGGGGTGAGGGGGGTTCCACGTTTTGACCGCAGGGTAGACTTAAACCAGGTTCTCCTGTTGGGGTCATGAACCAGCTCTGGGTTTAAGTCTGGCCTGGGGTAGTCAAAAAGAGGAACCCTGTCCTCCATGTCTTCCCCCCTTTCAAAGCAACCACCAAACATGGAGGGGGGTGCCTCCCTTTTTTTGTTGCGGAGGATTTCCTCTTCTTTTTTGTATTTTTGCTGGGGGAACGTCTTCTTTGGACGGGGGGGGCTTCCAAGACAACCAACCAACATGAGGGGGGGAACCTCTTTTGCTTTTTCGCTGGAAGGGGCGCAGGGTCGGGTGTTTGTCGCATGGAAATCCACACGCAGAAAAAGGCCTCTTTCTGGCCCTGGTATGTTTTTGTTTTTTTGATGTGCACTAAAGGGAGCCCCCAGCTCTGGATGCTTGAGCCATGGGGGCTCCTTAAAAGATACACTTTGCCCATTTGAAACATGGCTTTTTCGACACCAAAATAAAGGGAAATCACCATTTGCAAGGCAATGTTCAGGCGAATAATGTAAGGGGGCTTGCACCCCTGGAGTGGATCAGGTGGTGAAGTGGTCGAGCACGGGCAGCGGCAAGGGCAAGGAATGCACGTCTCTTGGCATAGCGGGTTTTGAGGTTTGGCTCTGCCAAAACGGGTCCGACCCCCTTAGCCCAAGACCTCATTATTTGAGGCCTGCGGGGGTTCAAGGCCCTCATTTTTGGGGGTCTTGGGCTCCTAGGGAAGGGGTGTTTCTTGATGGTGCTATCGGTCTCGAGCTTATATTTCGCTGTAGATGAAATTTACCACCTAATTTACGCTCCAATTCCAAGGAGCGTGACTTTAAGAGCACGCACCGTACCCGGTTTTGGGTTGAAAGCAAGCCCCGTGGTGATTCAGAAATTGAAACATCCAACACCTGCTTTGACAGGGGGTGAATCAGACATCAGCCAACCATGTCTACTGGGAGCTTTCGTCAGTTTTGCCGGAGGATTCTCCCTTTTTGTTTCTCGGCCTTTTTTGGGGGTCCCACAAACTTCAAGGGCTGCGGCCTTTAATCCTCAAAGTTTTTGGGGCCGCAGACTCGAACCCTCAAACTTTAAGGGCTGCAGCTTTCAATCTTAGCTGCTGGGTTGGTTGCCCCCTTTTGACAGACATTCCCGTTGTGAGGTCTGTCAAAAGCAAGTCTGGGTGGTACGGAACCCTTCCGGATTCAGGAGGCGTCGGGAGCTGCTCCGAACCACTCCGGAGCCTTTGGGAAGAGTCTCTGCACGTGGTTTGTCGCTTCAATTAACCCACATGGCTGTGGGTCAAAACCAATAATCTCATTTTGGGGTAGGTGCACCACCCATTTTAGTCTATTTTAATGGGGATTGGGATGTTTATGTACGGGATTTTGACCTATATACTATTAGGCCAGGGTCTGACAAACGCCATGTGTTCCCACAATGGACATGGTGATGGTTTAGGGCTAGTGGACACCATCCCAGACGTGTCAGATATGGGCCATGGGTTAAGTAAGCCATCCGTAGGATATCTTCGGAGCCCCTTTTGCTATGCCTTCGCAGCAACTTCAGGCGACGGCTCGCTCGCTCTCAGGCATCCCAAGCCAAAGGCCCCGGGCAAAGGCGGCAAGGTCCCGCTGCTGCCGCACCAGATGTTGCAGAGGGAGCTGCAGGAAGCGACGAATCGGGCGCCGGTCTTTCGCGCACGCGCGCGCCGGGGGGGCGGGGCGGGGGGGGGGGGTACCAGCTGTAGCACACAGATCCCGGTGGCCTATTTTGGCCTTCCACGGGTGTTTGTTTGTTTGTTTGTTTTTGTTCGGGGGTCAAGGAGGGCAGGCGCATTTCTGGAACGGGAGTTCTATTCCGTTTGCCAACGAATATGTTCTTCTGTTTCCTTGATGGTTTTAAAGGGAATCCATCACACTGGACCCCGACGTGGGGATAGTCATAGACCTGTAAGATGCCAAGGCTTTCACACACACACACATCCGTCTACGATCAATAGGTATTGACCGTTGACTGCCAAGAACGACGTCAACCAACAAGACGAAATTGTTTGATGAACACTCACCTGTACTCACATTGGTTTGTCTATGTAAGTTTTACTATCGTTTACTTTCTTATCCGGTTCTTCTATTATGTTTACTTGTTGATTCTTATTCTCGAATTTCCATCTCTCCCCCTTCTTATATCGATATATTTGTAATCTTGGGACATATCCGGCAGTCAACATACAAAGAGACAGAGATTCCTATCGTTGATCATTCCTCTCTCTTTGGTCGTAGTCTCTGAATCTTTCGTTGATGCAAGGCAGGTGGGACAAGAAGAGTGGTCTAGAATCCACCCCTCTCAGTCTTTGTAAGGCATGAAGGGATGGATGAGCTGCATGTCGTTCTATCTCTCCTTCATTTCGTCCAGGGAATTCAGACAAAGCTTGGCCCAGACTCGCCGGAGGAGCACTTCACAAGCGCAGGTGATGTCAACCGCCCAAAAGCGACCCCGCGGAAGGAACCGGATCTACGGAGGTCTCCCTGAAAGCTGCCCCTCCACCCAACTGGGCAAAGATAGCTTTCGAGAAAAGGTGTCACTGAAGAGGGGAGAGCCGGAGCCCCTTGATCGGGTGGGCGAAGCCCCACGGCTTCGGAACAAAAGCGACCGCAAGGACATTACTTGGAGATGCAAGCTGCTAAGCGAAAATAGGAGCCGTTTTGGAGGCGACTTTTGTGGATCCCCTGTAGGATAGATTTTAAACGAGTACTAACAGAGCACTAAAACGAGAAAACAAGAGCCAACAGGGGGAAGCACAGGTGAAATCCTGAAACATCGCATCCAAGCCGGGTTTCTAGAGCCCAGAAGAGCTGCGCAGCTCTGCAGGAAAGGATCGACCGGGGCGAGATCAGTCCGATCCCGCACAAGGGAGAAGTCTCGCACCTGCTGCATCCTGCACCCGCGAAGGGCAAGGGCAAGAAGAAGGGGGAGAAAGGTGAGAAGGTGGCATCAGAGGAGAGCAAGGAGAATGAGGAGGGCAAAGAAAAGGAGGGCAAGGAGAATGAGGACAGACCGCAGTTGTTTCTGTCATGGTCATTTTGCAACCGTACGATTCTGTGGTAACTAACTCGTGCTATGTGTTGTTGCCAACCCTCCCTACGATAGGGCGACTTTCTGTGATGCCAAGGGAATCTTCAAAGCGAAGTACCACTCCGCAGTTTAACACCAACCTTCACACCCACCATTTTTAGAGGAGTCTCCTTTTGGGGACCCCTTTTTGGGGTGCCATGTGAGTTTGTAGGGCTATTTTCCATGACTACCCACCAAGATTCTCCTTTTGAGGATCCCGTTTTGGGGTGCCATGTGAATTTGTAGAGTATGACGCCTCCTTCCCATCGGGTGGTCTTCCGTCAGAAATCGGATATGCTTCCGGTAGTCTTCCCACAGTCTGCAGGTAGTCTTCCGGCAGTCTTTCCCGTAATCTTCTGGTCGTCTCCCACAATTTCCACTGTAGAGTAGTTTCCACCATGACGCTCGCTTCTTGCAGGAGGGCAAAGAAAAAGAGCCGAAGGGCAAGGGCAAGGGTCCCAAAGGTCCTCCGCTGCCTGCGGCCAAAGCTGCCGCTGCGCCGAGCGACACGGCCCCGCCCAAAGGCACAGGTCACTTGCCTCTACAAAGAGGGCTGTCGCTTTTGGGGGCTGTCGGATGTAGGGGAGCTTAATTGCCGCAAAAATATGGCTCCTGTAAGCGTGACACATTTGGTCATAGGACATCACGCAACCCCATTCTACTTATTGAGGCCATTCTATTCTTCTTTTGCAGAGTGTTTTGAGGCGAAGCCAGACGGAAACTGCTCATTCTGATGGTTCCACCGCTTGGAGATAGACAGGTTATCCTTCTGGTCAAGGATGGTTCTCAAGTTGCACCTTTAATTAGTCAATCAAAGCGTCCAACACCACCGATTTCTGGCCATGTTGGTGGTTCGCAGCCCACCTGGTTAAATTGGGGCTACAGTAGCTTCCATGCTCTGAAATGTGTAGGGTTTTCGTTGTGGTTCTTCTTTTGTTCCTGTAAACAAAAAGAACATTGTTGGTTTTACAGGGAATCTAGCGGACATGCGTTCTCGTTTTTCCAGGGGGCGATAAAGCAAACGGAGGGTAATTAAGGCCCTTTGTTTAACAACTATGTGTCAAAGATGTTGGCAGAAATAAAGTTCAAGAGGTGTTGGTCGCTGCTCAACTAGAGGGTCTCCCGGGTCTCTTCAAGTCGCATTTTTGTGTAGTCTTTCTGCCTTTGATACACACATGCAGGACGTTTCATCTTTTCAAGCTGCCCCATCCGGGTTTTCGGGCGCCCCTGTTTCAAACACCTCCCCTGGCCGCGAGAAAACGCGAAACGCGTCTCTGAGGTCACTTTGCTGAAGCCCCCTCTTATTCCTAGCTGGTCAGACAATCAGCAGGTGGGAATGAACACTTTTGGGACCCTTTTGGGTTGTTGTACAGGAAGCCAAAGGGGAAGCCAGCAATGTTGTTGGGGTGTAGGGGTTGTGGCAATGAACCAACGTATCCCCAACAAGGAAACCATCAGCGACGGTTCAGTTCGGTTCAAACTCATTTCCTGTCGAACCTGCCTTTGCGCGCCGCTGAGGTAAGGGCCCCGGCAAGGGAGGCAAGGGCCCGACGAAACTTGGCGAACATGTTAATCTTCTCATTTAGGGGGTTGATCAAACGGTGCTTTACATGGGGTGACCATTAGGGAAACCACCAAAAAGAGGATATGTCCCACCAAATGGGAACAGTTGCCCATGGTCATTTTGGGGCCAGGAATATTGATCGACCCTCATTTGTCACATATTTTTCTTCTTCCATTTGTCATTTGTCAGGTTGTTTCATTTTGTACAGCCTCATTTGATGTTAACCTTTTTCCTGCCCACGCAA